TTATATCGGAGGTGCAGTGGCGGATCGCCGAAAGATCTGTCCGTCCGAGCGGCATAATCGACGCGAGAGAGGAAGATTTTTAGACTCGTAGCTGATTAACGAGGCGTGTACACGTACTCTCGGTGTACAAAGGCTAACCTATATGTATCCACAGCAGTTTAATGGATAAGAGCTTAGACTCGTGTCTGGCTACCTGAAGATTGAGGCTATCCATCACTCTCGAGTCTTTTGACCGACTCTTCGTCTGGGCAGCTTGTAATCCACTTTAGGGAAATACATGTGTGTGTGTGTGTGTGTGTGTGTGTGTGTGTGTGTGTGTGTGTGTGTGTGTGTGTGTGTGTGTGTGTGTATGTATGTATACAGAGTGTCTTATAACCAACGTTGCAGAGCTCGTGGAGACATAGAGCGGGTTAAGACAAATATAAAAGTCCCATACCGTTTTGTAATTCGCAATAATTATCGAGTTATTAATGACAGAAATTTGAGAAAAATGTTTGGTTGAATGAACCAATTTTCTGGCGAAGTAAAAGAGAGAGAGAGAGAGAGAGAGAGAGAGAGAGAGAGAGAGAGAGAGAGAGAACGATTAAGAAATTTTGACTGAAAATACCACAATTTTTAAGTTAATCACAAACCTTGATAAATTAGACGAGTGTTAATATTTTCAGTCGGTATTTCTCTGTTCTACCGTTCATATTTCATTTGCAAGCTGTATCATGGACCAAACATTTTTACTCATGAAGAAATTGTCGTAATCAGTGGTATATTAACGATAGAAGAAACTTAAAGTTCTCTGTCGTATAATTGCGAAAGGAGGACCATCGTTGTCAATGGTGCACCAACGATACTTGGCATAAAATTGATTCCTAGATATAATCGCGATACGATGCAAACGCGAGTATGTTATTTTGACACGTTGAATCGTGTCATTTGATTCATGTAGACATCATTTAACGTATCAAATGACACGAGCAAGAAACGGCAAGAAACGTGTAAAGAACGTGTAAAGAAAGCTTCAATCAATCACATACTTATACGTGTCAAAATAACATACTCGGATTTGCATCCCGTTTCGTATAATATTGAATTGAATGTGGAAGATTCATTTCAATTTGTTCGCGAGAAGGATACCGCGCGGTCAACATTAATTTTCCCGCATGGACCAATTCCTCGTGTGCGCGCATGTTTGCGCGTACGATCCGCGACGCCCACATCCACATTGTTCGCATCTTTAGCAAATATTTCGGAACAACGGAGATTAATTATCGCGAATAAACGTGGAGACGCGTGAGCGAGATATTTAATATCGTCCATCGTGGCATCGAGCGTTTCATCAGCCGCATCGTAAACATCCCTCGAAGTCTTGTGGCTCTTCGAATTCGCGCGATCGTGAGGAGATGGTGATCTGAACGTAAGTAATCCGAACGTCGGTATAAGGAAACGCACGCACGACGATTTGCACAGATCACTTGTAAACTGACAGCTCGGAAAAACCGAAATTATCATCCCGTTCCCGCACGATATAGAACCGAACGTACAAGTGGAACACAGAAGCAACGAGCAATTCAAAGGAGAGGTTGTTCTGCTCGTTAGGCGCGTGTAACGTTGCACCGAGATTATTTCTACATGCGGGTGTGGCGGAGACAGGACAGTAAATGAGCGCGATGTGCGAATTTCACGGCATGCTGAACCACTCGGTGTGCCTGAAAGAAAAGCAGTAAACCGAAGAATATTGTTGCACAAAATTGCATTTTTCCGCCGGCGCCACTCAACGTACACCATATAGTAAACAGGATGCTTTCAGCGAAGAACAAAAAGAGAGAGAGAGAGAGAGAGAGAGAGAGAGAGAGAGAGGAAAGACGGAGAGAGGAGATAATTTCAGACTATTTTAGCACGAACAACGTTGTTTAATTAATTCATGTTATACATTAGCGCAAGGTCCCGATGAGTAAAACGATATGAATGTTGTTTCGTATCATTTCCTGTAATTGCAGAAATTGAAAAAATACATTTGCGTGTGTGCGTGAGAATCGATTGAAATCTGTTTTTTTCACATGCTGATAGACGTATATATAGAGCGAACATGTCGGAGAGAGAAAGAGAGAGAGAGGGAGGGAGGGAGGGAGAGAGAGAGAGAGAGAGAGAGAGAGAGAGAGAGGTAGGATAGAAAGAGAGAGACAGAAATTAATATTTTATCTCGATAAAATATCGTCTCCCGTTAGTTGGGAAAAAAGAGGGGTAAATGTTCACACGCGTGTTTTCATGCGCACGGCTTGTCGCGGCGAGCTCAGGCGCGATTTACTTCATTTGCGAGATCAAAGCGCCGGTGTGACGTCAACGGCGGCGTGTAATGCGAAATGCGACTCGGCGATAGAATACGTCGGCACGCATTATTGATGGCAGGCGCGAACTCGCGAGACGCTACGTGGTTTAATAAAGTTCACGAAGCCGCATTCGCAGTGGTTATCCCTTCGTTGCGCGGTGTGCGCACAAGTTTTTACGTTGACGTATACTGGGTCATCAGAGTCGATCGAGTTAATAAATTGTAGACGCATTGAAGTACGAAGAAGCAAATAAGCGAACGATAGCTAGGCTGTCAGGAGATTCTGCGCACGGTGTCATTGTCTATATCTGACATAGTTTTTTCTTCATCTAGCGACTCGGCAGAAATGTTACACGCTCTAGACGCACTAGGTGGAAAAGCACCGCTTCTGTGCTTAGCGCGCATTCCAGATTTCGACGCGAGGCCTTTGCGGTCGTCGATTAAATTTCCTCGAGAAAGCTGGAGATTTCACTTTGCGAACATTCTGGATATCCATAAGGAGCTCTCAGCTCTCGGTGCGGACCGGTTTACGAAGAATAAGCGAAAAAAATTAGACATTAAGATAAAATGAAACGTCTCCGAAACGTTTCCGAAATCATTTCGCTGAGTGGCTCGGAAAATATTTATTGAATAAATATACTATTGCGAGGGAAACGAAGAGAGCGGGAATCAGGCCTGACCGCGATTCGTCTTTTCTCTTATCTTTCGAGCTCCTTCATAATACAGCTTCAGTTAACGGGAAGAACGAACACTTTCTCGCGAGCAGACAACGGTAGAATCTTATCGAGTCAATATATATTTTTCGTTTATTTTGCCAATTATCTTTCTTCGAGTCAAGAACAAATAATAAGATGGGCGGGAGAATGGCATTCTCTTTGAGGATAATCTACGTGGTCTTTCGTATCACCGACACAAACGATGACGTCGGAATCATCGGGTCCCTTCGTAAGAGTGAGAAGCAGGAACGCGTGTAGGAGGAATCGCCGACTTAGGATTCCGGAGTCGGTGGCCGATTCTCACGAAAGCGCTCGAAGCGGTTGAAATGGTTCGCGCGTCTCGATACGTAATGTCTATAATTGAGTTTGCCTGTGAGCGTGAGATCGTATCCGGATCGGAGTGACGAGGGCGAAATAATAAAGATCTACGTGAAATCCATCATCGATATCAGAGCGCGTAACGCAGGTCGCTTGGAAATATTCGAGCCAGAAATGCATCGCCCCTCGACGAATTTTGACCCGAATAACGCTAGCCAGCTCACAGAGAGAGAGAGAGAGAGAGAGAGAGAGAGAATAGAGTTTATTATCCTATGGGATGCAGTCGTCTATCGCCTAAGATATATAAAAATATTAGAAATAGAGCCAAGTGTCAATGCGGAAAAAGAAGAGAAATGCAAACAGCAGACGTATTAATAATTTGCAACATAAAGAGAAGAGAAATATGGCGCAAAATAGAAATGTATGTGAGAGAGAGAGAGAGAAAGAGAGAGAGGGGAGGGGGGCGGAGGCAGAGCACGTTGTATTAAAAGCTATATTCGGTCGGCCGATTGAACGGCTCCGTGAATTTTCTACGCTGGAATTATCTGGACTTATCGTCTCACGTGGTGTGAGGCTCTTGTCACGCAGGCTCGCGCGAGAACAATCCTAACCGCAGAAGACCCGCATTCTCGTATGCACGCGCGGATCGTTCGTTTTCCGTGTTCTCGATGTAAAACCGCGTCGTAAATATTAGACCTGTTCATACAAATGCGGTCGGTGCAGCAACTTTTTGCTGAAAGATTAAACAGAAGTCCGCGCCTGGATGTCGCGTTGCGCCGTGTCGTGCAGACATCGCGCGCGCGCGCTATCGAATGCAGCAGAGCTCGTTCAACGGAAACAAAGCCACGTGGCGTCGAAGCGCGGCGGTGTGCCTGTCGCTTCCGACAGGCCAACTTTGCTACGGCAATGGATTAAACACGTTTTATCGAATGAAGTAGAGGATACGTCGCTGCGACGAGTATTGAACGACTGCGCGATCGATGCGCGTTTAGCGCGCGCGGACAGAGGGAATAGAGTGCGGAGTAGAACGCGGAATGGACAAGTTAGAAAGAGAGACAGAGAGGGGGAGAGAGAGAGAGAGAGAGAGAGAGAGAGAGAGGGGGGGGGTGGACGCGAAAGGGAAAGAGAGGAAAACAGGCGAGAGGATGAAGAGCGCCCGGGGACTGTTTCCACGATTATATGCATCGCCAAAATAACGCGATAGGTCACTCGGAAAAACCCGTATCGAGGAGCGCCGCAACAGCACTTCGGCGCTCCTTTTCCTACGACGATCCACGCGCCAGATCGCTCGGAAGAATTCGTTGCCGGGGGACTTTTTGAAGAATGCCGCGCTGAAGAGGCTGAAGAGGGTCGTCGTTGTCGTCCGTCAAGCGTGCCCGACGCGTCGCGTCGCGCCGCAAAGACCATTTAACTCGGCGTTTACGCTCGGCGGATCGCGGTATCGCGGAAATTTATGGCGATCGCGATAATTAGGGACGACACGCGCCTCCGTATAATCCGCCGGCGGCACGACTTCGCACGCGTTCATTCGTTCGCGCACTCGCGAACGCGGGGACGAGGACGAGGAGTACGAGACGGAGTACGAGAATAAGGCACGCGCAGTAAACGAAGGAGCTGTTCGACGACAGCGGGGGTTTATTACTTACAGTACGTGTCGGTGGTGAGTCGATCGATGGTATCTTGCTTGAGTTTGCTGTTCTTCTTGCCCATCTTCGCAGCCGCGAACCTGACGCTCGCGCGAGTTGACGGTCTCCCTTGCCGCTCAATCGAATGTACTGTCCTTGGGGTTTTCCACTTCTGTCGGCAGCTTCGTTCTCACCGTCGAGCTCGCATGTCTCGAAGGCCGCCGCCGAGGTGCGCTTGATGAGCCGAGAGTGAAGCGCGAAGAATTGAAGGTCGCTCGAACTCGATGTCCCTCCCTTCGAGATCGAACACTGCGCCTAGAAGTCCGCGAAGGAAGCGGGACAGACACGCAGGAAGGAAGATGCCGTTCCTCAGCAAAGTTTCAGCACAAGGAGCGATCGTCCTTTCTGAAGCGCTTCCTTCCTATCGCGGGTTCCTTGACTCTTCCTTGTTTCGAGGTCGCGCAGGGACTCTCTATCGAATCCACTCGATAACTTTGCCGGCCGCAACTTCCTCTGCCGTTGAGGTACCAACAGAGTCCACTGTCTCGAGAAGTTTGCCGGTAGATCTAATTTGGTGGTGTATTTTGCAGGAAGCCGAACTTTCTTCGGTTTCGAGAAGCCGACGGCGCCGCGCGCGATAAATTTACGTCGCGATCGAGGGAGGTGCGCGCAGAGTCGGTTGTAACGCTCGGTCGAGTAAGTCGTAAGTGGAAAAGTTTGATTTAATTCGTCTGGCGCGCTCGGGTTTTCTTTAATTGATTTAAGTACGCACAGCGAGGGCGACGCGGGTCTCTCCGATACCACTCGTGCCACTCGTCTTGCTCAATGCGATCGACTCGTCGGTACGTCTTCCGCGTTGCGCTCTTTTTTCGATGATATTGCTTTTTCTGTGGGGAAGATATAGGAAGATCTTAATGCATCGGCTGCGAGGAAACTCTTCGTGCCCGCGTTTCCTGACTCTCGAAGCTGGTCGACGTAAAAGACAGCGGACGAGAAACCAAGAGGACTTGACCCGCGCGAAAATTTCTCAAGATGCGAAAATCAGCGCGTCCCTGACAATAATTTTCCGGCACAGCGAGCTCTCTCTCATGAAATTTTTAATCGCGCGCCGCTTGATCTCTTCGGCAAAGTTTCCAAGTAATGCTGCGCAGATGAGCACTCGCGACTCGCGGAGTTCGCATCGGAAAATTAAGACCAACTTGCCGAGGATGAGACGCTCGGAAGAAACGTCGCAGGAGTTCGTCGGGGGCGGTCGTGCAATCGATAAATTTGCCTTTGACTCTCGCAATTTTGGCGAGTTTGATCAATGACGCTGCTAAGTGGTGTCGCCGAATTTCCGCGACTGGTGCGCGCGATATTTTTATTTTTCGCGGACATATATACACACACACACACACACTCTCTCTCTCTCTCTCTCTCTCTCTCTCTCTCTCATCCACCGAAGATATTGGAAAGAGTAGCATGTACGAATGTTACTGACAGGAAGACATTATATCCCAGATCGAGCGCATCAAAGCTTCAAAGGTCGTAAGACGAAACGACCGATACGATCTACTTTCCGGATTCGCGCTAGTAGCCAATCCCTCCTAGACCATTATGTGAAGGGCTTTAAAGGTCAACAACGTTACGATATCTCCAGCCTTATCCGCGGGATTAAACAGTATTTCCACTAATGTATTTCCTTAGCTCTCGCTGTCATGCTTCGCCCGCTCCGCCACGATCCGCCTTTAATCCTTCCGCTTTTCCGAGCGTCGTAAAGACATTATATACATTAAATACATTGAAACGTTTATTGTATTAATATCGTATTAATATAATAGTCGCTGCTGATGCGAAATTTAAAGACACAGGAGTATAAAACTATTTTATTATCCGGTGCTGTTAATTGGAGCCACCGAAATTCCACTTTTTTGCGGATGTATGTCCGCAAGAAACGTCGAACGCGCGAGCTCGACACACCGTCTTTCGCGAAAACTTGCGATTAGGAACACGCGAGCGCACAAATCCCCGTCCACGTACAAACGATCGAAATAATTACGCGCGGTGACTCGGTGATAGAGACCGCGATCGATTATACGGCGGAAGAGACTTCGACAGTTTTATCAATACATTGATCGATCGCAACGTCATTAGCGCCGCTGAATAATGAATCTCGCCGTTCCCGCGTTTTCGACGTCTTTCATCTTGACGTGTCTCGGCTTATCGGCCGAGTGGATTAATTGAGTCATTATCGGAGGCTGCGAAAAATCCCGGCGCATGCTGGAGAATTCCGGTCCGCGGCCGGCTGTGGACAGCGAGGCAAGATGGAGAAATACGGTCCCTCGCGGGCGCGCACCTAACTGATTCGAAACGAAGTCATGTCCGTTCATCGAAACTTCGTGAAAACTTGATCCGACGGGATAACAATAAGTGAACAAGGCTGGTCTTTCTCCTCGAGCGGGTCGAACGAGATGAAGTTACGGCAAAGTTACTTTCCTCCGCCTTAATATGGAGATCTTATTCACTCCTGGTGACGTTTGTGGTCGGGTAAGAGGAAGCGGGTAACTGTCTCGCCGGCAGAAGGAGGGACAGAGCGGAGAAGAGTCTTCGCACGTATATCCATGCATTCGAATGCAGATCAGCTGTTGATGCGAATTCACGTCACGTCGCGTCGCGTCACGTCGCGTCGCGTCGCGTCGCGTCGCGTTCTGCCGTTCCACGAACTTGGCGGCCGCTGGATACTCCGGCTTTGATTCATACGCTGTTCATAGCGTTGCGTCGCGCGGAATCGCGCGGAAGTCGATCCGTCCTTTGCGCGACACACAGCGACACACACCAAGGCTGCGGAGGAGAGGGCGAAGGGTGGCCTGCGAAATTCAGCGTTACCGAAGGCCGCGGGAGGACCTCGTCGAATGATTAACTTCCGGTCGAGGTCGTGCTGCACCCTTGACCTCGCGCCACGTCGCGTCGCGTCGCGCCGCGTCGTGCGCGATTACGGCGGCTGCAGGAGCACGCTTAATATTACGTTGTAACGAACAGGCGAACGATGACGAACGGTGACGGAAATGTTCGAGGACGCGCTTCCGAGGACGGTGCGTGCGTAGTAAGGAGCGACGCGAGGCGGAAGAGCAGAGAGCGAGGCTGGAACGCGAACGCGAATGCGGACGGTGGCTGGTGGGTGTTGGGGGCGGCGGCGGTGGCGGCGGTGGCGGCGGGATCGAGCGCAATTTCACGTTCTCCGCGAATTCGGGTCCTCTGGAGAACGCTTCCGGCTGCAACCTGATTATCGGCAGCGACACACACCGGCGCGCGGCGTAGCGACCATTCATAAAACGGGGACCAGATATCGACACGAGCCTCTCCGAAGTGCACTAAAGCGTTGTGCGTCGTTCGAAAGCTTTCTTCGTTAACCGTGCGATAAAGCATATTATCGTCGCGAAAGAGAAAACTGAGAGGAAAAAGGCAGAGAGAGAGAGGGAGAGAGAGAGAGAGAGAGAGAGAGAGAGAGAGAGAGAGAGAGAGAGAGAGAGAGAGAGAGAGAGAGAGAGCGAGAGAGAGAGAGAGAGCGAGAGAGAGAACACCAGCTCACACGCTTTTCGCAAAAACGTCGATAGCTCGATGGAGAACACCGCGGAGACACTGAATGAAGGCGGCGAGAGAGTAACAGCTGGCGGGAACTGCGTTACGCGTACATTCCAAAGAGCCCTTCGCGTTATCAACCCGAGTTATCACTGATAAAACAGACAGGTTAGGAAGAGGGGGAGAGAGAGAGAGAGAGAGAGAGAGAGAGAGACATTATGCTGGACAGTTTGACGAAGATTCAGAACATCGGTGTCCAGATAATTCGCTCGCGATACGCTCGCTCCGACCGAGGCTCATCCTCCACCGATATGTAAATCATAATCTCGGTAAGCGGAGTCGTGTCCGACTCATTGCGATAACATCATGGCGGATCGATCGCTCGCTCGCAATCGGCTTTGTCACACGTAAGTCCGCACGATTAAACGGGACAGATGCTCCCACGGACGCGCGACGAATCCAGGCTTGCCTCCTCTCTCTCTCTCTCTCTCTCTCTCTCTCGGCCTCACGTTTCCGGTGTAATCGCTTCCGAGAGAGCGCGGTCGCGCGTGCGATCGTGCGAACCCGCTCGGCGGCGCGTTCCTTCGCGAGGACTTTACCGGAGATTCCGTCGTAAATAGGGTTTCATTCATGAGTTCTCACCGCTGGCGAGGTACGTTCGTCGGTGAAGCGCGGACCAGTGACGTCATAGCGTCGCGGCGCCTGGCGTCAGACTGGCTCGGCGATGACATTATGTGGAAGTGTGGTGGAAGCTTACGAGGGCGCAAGCGCACCCACCATTCGAACTCGCAGGAGATGCTCGACTATCCTCCCTCCTGTTTCCACCCTCCCTCCCTCAACCGCCCTCCTGTCCCCCGTCCTACCTAGGTTCCACCGTCCGATTCCGCTACCTTCGATCCTCCTCGCGTTTTCTCCCTCTCTCTGTCGGCCGGTTGCTTGCCATCTCGGTCGATCGCGCGTATCGCGTCGCGTTTCCGTCCTTATCTCTCTTCCGTCGATTTTCCGACTCTCTCCCTCCCTCCCACGCTTGCTTGCTCGCTCGCCTCGCTGCCCTCCCGTCTTTTTTTCCATCCTCGTAGAAGATCGTTCCGTCTCGATTCTTCGTACGGCGACGGTGGCAGTCGTTCTCTCTCTTTCTTTCTCTCTCTTCACCTCGCTTCGCCTCACCTCACCTCACCTCACCTCACCTCACCAAACCTCACCTCACCTCACCTCACCTCACCTTACCTCACTTCACTTCACCTCACCGCACCTCACCGCACCTCGCTTTGCCCCGCCTCGTCTCGCCTCGCCTCGTCTCGCCTCACCTCGCCTCGTCTCGCCTCGCTCCGCTTCGCGCCGTCTCTTTCGCGGACCTGTTTCTGCCGCTTTTCATCCCTTTCTGCCCTATTCCTATGCTGGATGCTTTTGCTTCCTGACTTCCATTTGATCATAATTCTCATCTTATAAATATTATTAACACCCCTGCGCTTTCGGAGGAGATTCAGTCTCCAGGTACGTCCTGTAAACTTCCATTATAGAATTAACCCGCCCGAATATTCGTAGGGACACGTTTTTATTGTTATTTATCATTGTCTCTTATTGCCGGAACGCCAGCGTCGTTTCCCCTGCCACCACCAGTTGTGCTCTCGTTTTTAACTTTATTCGGAACTGCAATAAGTATTACTTTGCGCCGTGCTTGCGCGCTTGACCCCTCAGTGCACGGAATTTTTACCGTTCCTTGCATGCGATACGCAAAGCGCGCGAGTTTCCTTACACCGTCAAACAGAATTTCTAACAAATTGAAAGAAGTCGACGTTATTGCGTTAAAATACGTCGACCTTTGTCTCAGACATAATATGACACGACGTGACGCGGGGGAACGACGACGGTGGCGAAGCAAAAAAAGACGCGACGCGTCTCTGGTACGTGATGAGACTTTTCCCGGCGTCTCTCTCACCGGGGACGCGACGAGATCAATCACTGCGTTATTAGAAAGAAAAAAGAACTCATCGGCCGCGGGGCAAAGGGATTAATCGCTTTGCGCGTGCGCGCGCTGATAACAGCTGCTCCGAAAATAGAAAGAAATGAGAAAATGTAAAGTGTGAAAGCGGTGTGAGAAACGGGATCGCGGCGAAGAAACGCGCAGGGAAGCGTAACGCGGGCGGAAAGTAGTTTTCCTGGTGTTTTATCGCGATGAGATCAATCACTTAAAAACGCTGTCGGTTGCCGCTCGTAGCATTTTAACGCGAGGGATACAGCTGCGGAGCAACATTTCTCGATTGAGCGCAACTTGAAGGGATGCAGTGGAGGAGGAAGGGGGGAGGCGATGGTGGTGATGGTGGTGATGGTGGTGATCGACGGTGTGTAAATTTCTGCTATCGCAGATTTTCGTTGGCACGCGCCCGAGCCGGACGGTCGCTCGATTTCTCTCGACCGATCTAAACCAGCGCGCGGCGGCTCCATGAATAAAAGAAGAGGTTCGCGTGACGCCGCTGATTCGCCGGCTGGTTCGATGACAAAACGATTTATTTAAGCCTCCGCTTTATCCACGCCGGTGCTCGCGGAACCGATTACGTCGCCGTAAATGTTGTGTATCACGTGATACCGGCCTCTCAGACACTCGCAATCGGCATAGAAATCACGGAGAACTGGGGAGGGAGGGGGGCGAATGTCGCTCGGAGAACTTTGTGATTTTTGTGCGGAGTTCAAAATCGTGATCTCGCTATAATATAATGGTTTACTTCGCTCTTAATCCTTTCTCCCAATAGGATGATTACTTACGTGACGCCACAATTACAAATCTTCACAGAGCGACGTCTAATTAAGCCGTGACAAAAGCGCTCTGCGAGCGCGCTCGAGCTACGTCCTATCCTCCTCCCTCTCAAGAATCCATCCTCCACCCGAGAACGCGAGCGCACTCGCTCGCTCGTATTTTTGCTGACCACCGCGAATTGATTTAACCGGTCTTTATCGGTGAGCCGCGAGGTTCTCGGTAACGACCGTGAGCACGCATTAACCCTCCTCCCTCCGGGACGTGGCATCCCGTCCGCGAAGTAATAACAAAAGTGTTTGGACGCGGCGGCGGCGGCTAACAAACGGAACGCGGACGGAAACGGAGCACGTCAGCAGTCCTATGGTACCCTCGACATAAAAACGTCGTCAATGATGACCTCCCGCTTCGGCCCTCATCCTCTCCCACGTCGTCCTGGCGAGTGGAGCCGCGATCAACAAGGATGTCGGCGACAATAACAGAATACATTCGCGGTGCGCGAGCGTAAAACGCGATTCGTCAAACTGTTTACGGCCGTCCGCGATGCTTCGGTGAATAATTGCCCGTTCGCCGCCTCCCGCCTCCCGCCACACCCGCCGCCGCCGCCGCCCCGCGACACACGGACCTACCTACGCCGTCCGGCCGCGGGACGGGGTGATTCCTCAACTTCAGCTCGGGAGAGCTCGCAAGAGAAAAACGTCACACTGCCGAGGCGAAACGCGACGCGGTAATTGATGCAACGGTGGAAACGGCATGTTCCCCGGCGTGACGAATGCAATGCAAATTACATCGCGTTTTACCACCGACTTATCCCCCGTCCGCACGTCCTCGATTCATCTCGGCGCGTCGAAGATTTTTATTCTGCTTAAACATTAGGCGCGCGCCGCCCCGTAATGTTATTCACCTAATGCATTCTTAATAACGCCGTCGCTGCTTTATCAAGAAATACATCTCGCGCGAGGTATGAAGTTGGCCGCGCCACGCGAAATTAAAGTCGTATCTTCGGCCGACCACTCGTCGGACAAAAAACGGTGTTAACGAGAAAAGAAATAGCGTCGAGCGATATGTTGTGCTTATGCTATTATAAATATTCATACGCGCATCTCTTTTTCGGAGCGCGCGCGTGTGCGCCTTTAATTTTCTTTCGTGGGAGCTCGACAGCGAAGGATAGCAGAGGGTGAGAGAGAGAGGGAGGGGGGAAGAGAGAATGCTGGAGAAACGCTCAGAAATATTAGATATGTCGGCTAGTGTGTATTCAATCTGTCGTTATTTTCCTCTCCGTCATTGTACATCTCGTTTTTTCCTCGAATTATCTGTGCGACAAGCCGCGTCTTACAGAGAGGGTCTTATGGTTGTTACACAATTGTAATAACTCTTAAGCGGTTGTATATATATGTCCACTGTTGCACTCAACCCGATCTATTCCTCTTCCACGCGCGCAACACCTCTTCGATGTGACATCGATTGATGAAGCTCACTCGCGAGTTTCTTTTGAAAATCTATCGATCTTGATTAATTCCTTTAATTTCCTCCTTCGTAGCGGGAGCGGTAGAAGTTCGAGAGAATGGGGAGAGGGGATCGTGCAAAGATGGATTCTCGTCGTCACGGTATGACGAAGAAAGTCGGAAGAAGAAATCTCGATAGTATTTCGGCAAGTCCCACGGTGGCGTGTCATGCGAAAATTGCGGTTAGAGCTGCTCTGTTCGTCGAAGAAATAAATCGCAGGGAAACGTGACTCCCGTTCCTTAGAGGGATATATGATTCTATTTGCGGGAACGACCGAGAGAGAAAGAGAGAAAGAGGGAGGAGAGAGAGAGGCAGTATGAGAGAAAGAGATGACAATATGAGCGAAATAATGATGTCGACGACGGTGGTCTCGAGCGGAAAATTGAATCCGCGTTAAAACGCAGCCGAAAACCGTCCGGATTGCACCGCTACGTCTAATCTGAATATCCGCCTCGCTTCGCGACGCATCGCTCAAATTTGCGCGCTTGTTTCGCACTTCCTTCTTTGGTCTCTCTTGGGTTTCTTGGGTCGCTGTTTTATTTCCTTGTCCTGCGCGCAATGAAGCCCCTAAGCCCCGCGTGCGAGCGCGTGCTCGGTTGTTGAACAATTTCTGTAACAAGCGCAGTAATTAGGAAAGTGTGTGAAAGTTCGTGCGAAAACCGGATTAATCCCTCTCCCCCTCCGTCCACCCTCACGCTCAAACACGTTCAACCGACTTGGTAAGAGGAAAATTTGATATCTCAGTCGGTCGGGGATGGGGTTTCGCGTCCGCGAAATTAAGTCGGTACATTGTCGCGTTTGTTTTTGCAGCTGCGTTGTGAGAGGACGTAGAGGAGGGAGGGCTAAGAGGAGGAAGTCTACGGCGATTTATCTTAATGGTAGCCACGTTAATTGCGAGGCAAATTGCGACACTCGGGTAAAACTCGCCGTCGCGGCGGTGGCGGCGCCGGCGCCGGCTCTATCGTCGAAATCTTGCCGCGCGCTCTCGAGGCTTCTCGGCGTTCGTACTCGAGACTGACCGCGAATTACACAGTCCGCGCACGGCGCTTTTGTTTGATTTTGCGTTTGCAGCAGATGCGCGGCCGCGCCGGCTCTCGAAGCGAATGTCCTCGGAGCGAGAGGCGAACGGTCCGCGCTCACGGAGACGTGCTCAAGAGGGCGACTCGGTACTCTGGAAGTTCCACGCGTTCGCGTCGTCATACCACGCGCCGACTAATTTACTTATTTGCATTGAATTCCGCGCTCTGGTGCGCTGAATTCTCGGCGGAATAAAACGTTCGTCGCGTGGCGCCCCGTGAGAAAAAAGAGAGAGAGAGAGAGAGAGGAGAGAGAGAGAGAGAGAGAGAGAATGTTCGTCGAGGGACGCTCCACGACGCGAACCGCCGCGCAGGCCAACTTTTTTCGTCGCTAATTAACCAGCGTTCTTTTACTTATCTCACTTTCATGGCACAGAGAAACTTCTT